TTCAGCTAAGTAATTTCAAATTATATTTAATGTGTCTCCAATACTCTCAGCACATGGGAGTTCTTTCTAAGCTTTCTTTGATTTAAAAATGTTGTTTTTTTGACATGCTGTGTCAGTTTTCATTCAAATTTGGTACATAGATTATACATGTTAGCATACATGTCCTTCGACCGTCCGTGCATCTGCCCGTCCATCTGTGTGTCTGTCCATCTGCCCGTCCGTCTGTGTGTTCGTTCGTCTGTGCATCTATCCGTCCGGAGTCATTTTTCAGAATCCTTCGGGTCGATTCTGTTCATTCTTTACATGTGCCTAGTACTTTATGTGGGACATATGCACATGCAGTGGTTTAGCGATTCGATTCTCGGCCATTTTGTTTTTTAAAAATGTTGTATTTTGGACATGCTTCGTCAGTTTTATTCAAATTTGGTACATAGATTATACATGTTGGGATACATGTCCTACGACCGTCTGTGCATTCGTCTGTCCGTCTGTGCGTCCATCTGTCTGGAGTCATGTTTCAGAATTCTAAGGACTGATTCTGTTCATTCTTTGCATGTGCCTAGTACTGTATGTGGGATATATGCACATGCAGTGGTTTAGCAATTTGATTCAAAATGGCCGACTACAAGCACAAAGAAAACTTTCAAAAATTTAACGGGGACTGTTTCAATGACTTGTTAAGTAAGTCATAATCACATGAAGTTGCAGTACTATGTCTTCCTCAAACTCAACGCTGTCCCAATATATGGTGTGACAAGTCAAGAATCCATAGGAATTGCATTGTTGTTTTAAATTCTAAACAACATGTCTTATACATGTATGTCTAACATCTCAGATTTTTTTCACAAGTTTTCTTTACATCAACTGTGTTTTCTCAATTTCAATTGCAGCCTTCTGTGGAAGTATCACAATTGATCCGAGAATCCTACATCAAATTTGGTAATCTTGGCAATGAAACGATAGACAAGATGAGATTTAAACAGAGATTAAAGGTTGTACAGGGGCTTGAAGACACAGCAAGGAGAAATGTTCTTCGTAGTGTAGCACCTGATGTTAATTTTAATCAAAAAGAATTGGAAGATCTCTATAATTTGTTCAAAGTGAGTTCTAGATTATTTTCTGGGAAACTGACTTGTACTATCACATGCACAAGCCAAGTTATTCCCTGTTTAACAGAAAATATGACTTTTATACCCCGGTCTTTTTACATAATTGAATCCCATGTCTATGTCTATATTCATCTTCAACTTATAGTGATCTGGCCCTTACGTCACTCATATTTTCCCCAACTGAACATAGAAAAAAATTAGAGAATAAATACAACTGTCAGTTTAGCTTTCATGCAACCTGTCATTTTATTCACATACTCAGGTTAGGCTCAAGTTGTAGTGTACTTCTACATCAGACAAAGTATATGACAGCAGCTATTTGATGTGTACCCATATAAGACCATTCATTCAGAGTATTCAAATATTTCCTATTTCGTTGTTTGTTTGTTTGTTTGTTTGTTTGTTTGTTTGTTTGTTTGTTTGTTGTCAGTCCATAATAATACTTGACTGATGTCATTTCCAAATCTAAATAATGTTTATTGTGTCACTCATATCAGTATTTATTATTTTGTTCAATAAACTATTCATCTACTGACACATTATTACACATTTTATTGTTGATATCATATTTTGTAGGAGGAGCAGTTGACTAACAGTTTTTGGAGTCAGAATTTCCAGCCAATGGACCCCAGTCTACCAATGTATGCACAAATGAGGATAGATCAAGAGAAGTTTAAAACTCTCTTCCTGGCACTCTCACCATGGGGACTTGGTGTGTATGCTGGACAGTTAGCCAACAGAGCTTTCAGGGTAAGTCACACATAAATGTGTTATGGTATGTGGGGGATCTGCATCATACCTTATTAGAAAGTGAAAATTT